ACTAGTTCTTAATCAAAGCGGTTGTAAAACAACATTCAAAAAGTAAAACAGATCGAAAACCGTTTTGATTTTCAAGTAGTTTTTGAGGTGAAAATACGCCCATTTCAGAACTATATGATTGATAATTACACACTTGGCAATCAAACCATGCCTTTCTGATGCAATAAAACCCATTCAATCTCAATTTGGAGCCCCTTCAGATATTCGACTTTGTACCAATGGAAACTCATGCACATTTATGATCATAGTTTCCAACAACACTAACAAAAACTATTATATTGACATTGAGCAATAAACGTATTTCATATTTGGTGTTGCCGATTTATTGATTTAAAAAAAACCGGTTCACATCGCATCGGCTAGTTGTTTCACCGAAGAGGTCCATAAACTAATAACTTGCTGGTGAAATTACGTCAATGAATTCTATCATTTTGATCGCGCTTTTTTTTCTCTGTACATATGAGGGTGTTAATGGATTTCTATTTGGATGTAGTTGTAACACGTGCAGCTCATAAAAGTCGAAGCGATTACAATGTTTTTTTTTTGTATCAAATTGCTGCTCTTAATTAGTATGCATAGTCGCAGATGCAACCGTAGCACTGGGCATTATTGATTGCTTTCCGCACGCTTTTGCACTCTCATTAGTTGGATGATTGTGGTCTGATTGACATCATGATGTACAATATGCATTTATGAGACACATTGTCATATTAACCTTTGATCAAACTAACGATATATATGTTTTATTGTAATCATTTTTCGTCTCTTGCTGCAATTCCAATTACACGCTATTACTTTTCGACACGACAACTATCGTCATAGCAACAGCTCAGTTCAAAAGGTTTTCTTTTTGTTTGAGTCTAATTAACCATTTCACCATCCATTTACAACCGAAATCCCACAAGTGCTTTGTTTGTTCAATACCGGATTGGTGTTGGAGCCAATGTGTTTATGTGTCCATTGTTCCAAATTCAATTACATCACATGCACACACACAAGATAGCTGCAATTCTTGTGAATTTCGAAAGAAGCAAAAGGTAATTGAACCGAAACCTCCGCTCATCATTAAATCAAAGCAATTTTAATTGCTGAATTGATATGCCTCTAACTGTCGAATATCGAGTGAATGGAAAAACTCCATTTGAACCGAAGAAATACGAATTGAATTGAATCGATGTCAATCAGTCAAACTATTTAAATGTCGAAAACATTCAAACTGAAGTTCAACTACAATCAACAATTGGAAGAGTGTGTTGAAAGTAGGACTATCGTAAGATACATACACAAAAATTAATCGATTCAAAAACTATGCCATATTGTTTTGATGCTTACAACAGCAACAACAAAAAAAACTAAATACATACATTAACTCGAAAACGAATCGCTCACCATCGACCAAAAGCATCGTACGCGAAAAGGTGTTACAGGCGGTGAATCACTTTTTGTATCTATTCGCATCCATTTTGGAGAGTTGTTTTTCACAATCGGCTGCCGCATCCAAAAAAAAGTCGTACGACACATACGTACGCTTACAAATCAATGACGTCATAATTGTTATGTTGTTATTGGCAGTCGCAATCAATATAGAATACAAAAATTTATGCTAATTAATGGATATTACAGTTTATTAGTACGTTTTTTTTTTTCATTCGCCACATCTATGCTTATTTGATTGGTTTGTTATTTTCGATTCGCGGCACGGTCTCATCATTTCACCAAATAAGTATTATTTATAGTGAATACGTCAAAAAAAGTCTTGATATCGCTAACTTATAGATTCAACAATAGAACCGAATACATGCTGCCGGTGTTAATTCCGGTAATTCGCATCAAAGTAAAAAAAAATACTTAACAAACTGAATAGTCGAAAAATTTACACAGATATACACACATGTTTATACTTTGATCCGATATTTTTTTGTATAATAAATCATCATCGTTCGTCCATATATTCATCAAATTATCACAACTAATCTCTCGAAAGATATGAGATTTTATACATGAATTTGACAAGTGCCATTGAAATGTGGGTTTTGTTTTTGATCGAGATTTAATGTCATATGCAAATGACGTTTGATTGTAAAATTGAAGATGATCTGGTTTTGAATATATTGAAAATGATGTGTTGAGAATGATTTTTTCTATTATTCTAGAACAAGCGTATGATTTGAGACCTTGATAAACATGCGTCATTAGCCAAAATGTATACAAACAAAACCACATGGTTCACATGGAGTTAATGCAATTCCTTATCACATATTAATCGGCTGTGTATGCCGGCGATCGGGGACAAAAAATCGTCTGCGCGCTCCATTCCATATGCTTTTAATTGCACAATAATTTATAAATGGCAGAGCTCGACGAAAACGTGAATTCATTGAATTACCCATAATGTACACAGCGCACGGGTTTCCTTCCAGTTGATAAACCACAACAGAAAACCATACATTTATTTCGCGTTGATGGTTTGTTATATTGTGTGTTGTTGTTGTTGTTGTTTTTTGGAGTGCTGTAAACTATTTTTCCATGTCGATTGATTCGGCAAGCAAACTAGCTAAATAACACATAAAACGTGAGCGCGTGTGGATTTTGGAATAATGAATATATTGTAGTGTGCGGAGTTTTGCCGGAGATTCGACAAAAACAAAACTATAAAAACGCAAATGATTTTTTTTTTAAAGCTGGCGAACGGGCGAGTGATAGAGAAGGAGAGCGCTTGCGATGGCGCAAAAATTGGCAACGTCGCATGCATACGAAATTTATCGGCGGTTTCATTGTATATATTTGTTTATAATTGTGTGTGCGCCTGTTTGCGTACTCGTCCATATGAGTCAATCCAGAATAGAAGTGATGTCATTATGTTGAACGACGTACAGAACGTACGATGAGAACAAAATACCACTGTAGAATTTTACTCTTTGAGTGTAGAGCCAGAAAGAAAAATGAAGCAAAACAACTTCTCTTTTGTGTACAAACATCAAACAAATATGGTGATCTCATGCGTTCAGACTTTGCACAAACACCAAAAACATACTCACAAGACGCAACGAAAATGTTCTTCACGTGTGTATTGAATTTCACCGAAAAAAAAACAGAGCCGAATCAATTCCATTCGCTCTCGTTTTTGGATATTTTTCGTATGTGGCTGCACACAAAATGCAAAGGAGTCGCAAAAAAAAGTGCATATTGTTTTGATGCAACAACAGCACGGATGAAAAGGCGTTGAGATTGCGCAATACATTAAGAATGTTTCGTTTGTTTGTTCTTTTTCATCTCTTCATTTTCTGTCTGCAATCCATTTGGGTTTGTTTGTTTGTAGCAGAAAATTAAAAACAACCGTCCAAGGATACACATGCCGATGCCAAAGTCGAAGCATTCTTGCATGATGATGATGTTGTTGCAAAAGTCATTTGTTAGGGACCAAATAACCTTCTTCTAACTTTGGTTTCTCGCTTGCTAATTTTGAAAGCATATTTTTTTTTGTCGATGCACGCTTCAGTTGTTCCAATCAGAGCGATGCAAAGGAATTGCACGAACGAACATTTTAAAACATCTGCATATAAATGAAACCAGTTTTCTTTTCACTCTGCGACCGAAACGGATAAGAACAATTTCTTCGTCTTTTGTTCCATCGCCATCGTTGTGGAAACAAAGGGCGAAACGAACGTAAATTCCAAGGACATTTCAACGAGACTGAAATATTTCGCTTTATTCTGTCGTCTTTTCACAAAGCCAAATTCACTTTGTATGAAACGAAGTAGAAGATGAAAAATCATTTCGTATGCACCAGTTAGTCTAGTGTTTTTAAAATAACGTTGAATAATACATTTGAAATTGAAAAAAAGCGTGCAACAAAAAAAAAAACGGTCGAACGAAATAAACAAAAAGCATATAAACTCAAATGGTATTTCAAACAGAAACCTGTGAAATAACACTTTGAAAATATGGGCCAAATTTGTACGACTTCTCTCGCGGTATCAATATGAATGTTGTTTTCTACTTCAATCCCATTAGCCATTTGATGTGAACGAGACCAGTTAGCAAATAGCTTACATTTTACTCTTTGATTCGTGCACACCACCATTTAAGTTGATTGAATTACTTATATATGCACCATTTCTTTCCTCATTTAAATAGGCTAAATTCATTATATTACAAACTGAAAAAAATCTGAAAACCAAAATTATCAGACCACTAAATGACGATGAAAACACAGCTGTTATCATAGCAATGTTGTTTATAGCGTTTTTATGATCATGAACCAAGATCAATTGTTTTTTGTAAAATTGTTTTTTTTATCTTAATTACTTTGCGCGTTGATAAATTACCGTCTTTATCGATGAAATATGTTAACAAGGAAGCGAGAGAAGAGAGAAAAAAATGAATGTGACAATATTAATAAATATTCTCTTTTCGCCCATTGCCAAGTTTGAGTGCGATAATAAATGCTATTTTTAGTGTGCTCGAACAGAGAATTTATGCACACAAACTTCGATGCTTTAATTTTTTGTTCGAAACAAAAAACTAAGGCTTCACGTATCGCATACAGATTGAGATATGTGACAGTGACAATTAAACACAAACTGTATTCGGATCTTGCCGTGTGCGTTTATTTTACTTCCGTAATTCGCGCTCTAGCTCATCCATAGCCGAACACGAAGTGTCTCACCGCCCCACACTTAATGTTATAAATATACATGACTTACATAAAATGCTATGCTTTTTACACTTAACGAATACACATTGATTGCGGTTTAAGCAACTTGTTTTTAAATTGGTTTCCCCTAAATACTTCGCTTGGCACACGCCTCTTGCTGTTGCCACTCAACCGTAAGTGTTTTCAATTGAAATTAAATACTTTGTCGCTTAGTTAGCAATAGAATATTTGCTCGAGATGACAGATGATCACAAATGATGCGATAAATCGCTCAAGACACACTCATCACCAATCGTAAATGCTTCAATTAATGGTATTGATGTTTTTTTTTCTTTCTTTTTAGCGCTTCTGGAACCAGTGCAGTTGCAATTGACAATAAGATCGAACAAGCAATGGTAAGTACACTTACAATTTTATTTAGAATAGACTTATGTTTGAATAGTAATGGCAAACTTAAAATCATAACAATTTAGAAATGTATACATAAATTATGGTAGACATGCATTGTGATGAAAAATTCATTGAGAGTGGTCGTGGCTGGTATTTGGCCGGAATCACATTTTATCAGTAATAACAGTAATTTCGTTCATAAGTCGTGTTTATGTTGTCACATGATACACTAAATTAACGTAAATACAATGCAAAAATTGAAACAAAGTCGGCGGCCAAAAATGTTTGCCATGAATGAAGAGTAATTTACACCGATTTCCTTCGAATGCCTGCAAATAATACGCGAAGCATGTTGCGTGCTATTCATTCATGTCTAGAAAACGTCAACAAAACCGTCAGATTAAGTAAATTCATAAATTGAGCGGCTCTTGAACGTCTTACATGACCCATAAAACAAACAGATTCGACACTCCGGACTTCAATTGAAATGAATGGGAATGTAAAAGCATTAATTGAATTTCCGCTTCTTTCGTGGAGCCGATTGCACATAATAAGAATATTCATCGTACACATTGTTCATTCATTCAATTTTCTGTGTGAAATTGTTGTATGTCTCGATATAAATTATTAAAATCAATCTTTCAGTCATAAATCGTTGTTATGTACGGGCTATCAAACCAAAGCAGACACCACACATGATGGAGTCTTTCACCTTGATTCCGAGAAGTGCGAAAAAGGTCAAAACAGATGTAATTTCATCGTTTCCTACATCATTTCCAGTGTAATTATTCGTAGTTAATCGATTTTAAGAATTGGTTCCGTTTTTTCTCCAGATTTTTCGTTTTTTCCGCATTTACTTTTACATTCGAAAGAATGAAATCTGGTTAAATATATCCGGTGCACAATAAGTGAATGTCAAACCATGTCAGCGGCTCGATGACATAAAATTCTAGTTTTAAATTCACTGAAATCACCAGATACAATTGTCATGGTGTTTGCTCAGTATTCACTCGCATTTGACCATATTCTCATTCTATTTAACCATATCCGGATAAAAGTCAAGCATTAGAAAATGATTTCTATTTCATTTTGATGTCAATGAATCAATTTAGATTGCGAACAACTCAATACACATTTTCCATTTCATATAAATTGAAAAATGAATGTCAGACTGACTTTCCATCAATTTTTCCTCAATACAAAAATGTTTGTTGGGTCAATTTCAAAAATCACAAAACTTTTTTTTTCTGCATAAAAAGTAATGATTCAGTTGTATTTTTTGGCGGAAAAAACAAATAATTCATGAAATGATGTCCTTCGTTGCGGTCGCACCCAAACAAATGAGCCAAAGAAGAGAGGAAAAAAATGTGAAGGCAATTCCCTAACTACATTGGAAGTACAAAATGCATTGAAATAAACATACACACACACCCTTGTGTGACCGACTTCCTCAAACGATAACCATCTCTTTCGGTATTTACCCTGAGCATCGAAAAATATGCTCGAAATATTTTTGTTTCCATTTGCTGCATGCACTAAGCGCATTTGCAGAAAACAACGGCAAAATATGTGTGCGCGAGAAAAAAAAATGCTGCATAATTTACGTGAAACGCGCGCGCAAGAGAAAAAAAGAGAAATGTCGAAAAATAATTGCATGCAACATGCAATCCGCATATTTTATGAATATACACGAATCGGTCAGCGTATAATATACGGAGTAGGCAGTACACCGTGTAACACGAAAAAGAACCATTTAGAAATAAATCCAAAATCAAATGCATCGAGCAGCAGTAGCAAAAATCACAACAACAAAAACATGTGTAAAACATGGTCATTTAATTTTTGATGAAAGAAAAAATTCTTAACTCAAAACTCTCGTGCAGCAATCACGTCAATCCCTAATTTCTCCTTCGTTTTTATTCGTGGCTCGATTGAGAATGATTTTTTTTTATTGCTGTCAATATGTAAAATATGATTTGATGTTGTTTGGCATTTTGCATGTACGTCATACAAACGTACAACATATTGTAAATAGTATTTGAAAAGCAAAAGCTTGTGCTTTCTATAAAAATTATATTCTCGAAATTATGGCTGTAAAATTTATCGGCTTCCATCAGGAAATGTATGTTTTTTTTCAAACCAACTCTCTGTTTCTGCATTTGAAAAAATTATCGCATGGTTTAGCACAAACGCCCTAAACAAAAATGCCACTATAAAACAAAATGTCGTTAAATATTTGGAATGACGTTTGATTGTAAATTCGGTTACGAATCATGTACTTTTCATTGACGCATAGGAAGTGACGAAATTGATTGATGTTGTTAGAGTGAAAGAGTCACATTGATGTCGAAAATTACATAAAACCATAAGCGTAAAAAAAAGAATCGAATGAGAAAGAGAAAGAAGGATAGTTAATAGCATCCGCTCTACACTCGCCTAGATCAAATGGCGTAAGAAGAAATGACTCTCCAACCGACTCATAATTATGACTGCATCAATCAAAATGTAGTCTTTCAAACTTGAGAGAACTATGAAAAAAAAGTGATCGTGATGAAAACTTTTTCTTCCATCTCGTCTTTCACTTGAAATATAACAAACATGATTTATCTCTTCCATTTGTAATATGTCAATAGACGATTTTGTGTGGCATGCAACCTGTCACTTGTGCCGCAACTGGCAAACAGTAGTTATGCACTTCTTTAGTCCGCTCCAATGTGAAACTAGATCATAAAACTTCATCACATAGTGTCGGAGACGGCATCAAATCGATGCTATGCTATTCCGTTAGACGCATTCACTTCTTGTTCACAGAGAAAATTGTGGCAAAATGGCAAATTTCTTTCTAAAACAGAGTCGCTTAAAGTTCGGTCCTAGTTTTCTGTTGTCGTCGCGTGCACGCCTCATATTCAGAATGGCCCATTTTATTTGGACGCGCGGTGAATCGATTCCGAGAGTACAGTTTCAGCGTCGAATTCCTAATCGACAATTTTTTGCTACTGCATCGCAAGTAGACTTGTCTCGACTTGATATGGTTCGACTTCGTACTTCTCGGTATTTTTCCGCACATTATCAGCACGTAACTGCACAACTTGAATACATTGGAAAGTGGATTTGTTGAGAGTCGAGACCAAAAAAACGAACAACAGTGACCAGATCGACAAAATATATGTATGAAAAAAAACACGTTTATCAGTTAGATATACAAGTTTTCTGTTGCATCCGTTTCGCGAAAAATAATAATCAATGGGATTAATTTCAATTGGTAACACACACCAGATACAATGTGTCTTTATCACTCTTATTCAGGCATTGCATATCAATTGGCGATGACTTATGCACGACAACCGCGATCACTTGGTTGGCGAATAGGAAACGACAATCATATCGAATCATTGTTCATTCTTTTTGCTTGCACTTCTCTTTCTTTCTCTCTCCCTCTCTCTCTCTCTCTCTCTCTCTCTCGATCTCATGCTTTGATTGAATTGGATTTTGTCACACATCACGTTCATCGCATAAAAAACGGCGGCAAGAAGAACGTTGGTGTTTAAATTAACGGTTTTCATTCGGTCAAGAACATTATATCAGAGGTGAGAATTGAATTCTATTGCACGTGGCTTGCGTCTTTCACTATTTCCATCTCGCTTGCTCCCTCGTATTTGTTTGCAGCGACCGATTGGGAAACGTGCCTATAGCATCGAAGCGCATTTCAATTTTGTCATTAAAACAAAAATCGGCATGAATGATCAACAAAATACGTGTAAATTGACCCGCTACTTTATGTTGATATAGGTTGTTAAACCTTTTAGTGTAGTCATCGACTTTATGATCACGCCACCAATTACGATCATTTCATCGCATCCATTTACTTCCATTAAAAATCCCTCACATTTGAAACAATTGAAGCGGCAAGTGATTCACAATTTCTTCGCAAATCGTTTGAAAGAATAATAGAAAGAATCACCGATTTGTTGTAATTTATAATGAGATTATAAAAGTGAACGTATAACACAATTCTTTTTTCCATTTGCCATGTAGTACGCCATTTAATTCAAAATTGATTAGACCGAAATCGTAAACCTGCTTTGTTTACACATTTTTGTGTTTTGTTTCAATGTTTATCGCGCGAATTGTTGAAATAAATTCCTTCTTAAGCCGTATACTATTTCTTCTAAACGAATGGTGCGGTTCGTTGAATGTCAAACACGCTTTATTCAGCGTTCTGGAGTTTCCGTGCACATTTTTTTTGCAGTGGTGTGTGTCTGTGTGTACGTGATAAGAAGAGTAGAGCTCTTATCATTTCACATGTCAATGTTTGAGTGTATTTTTTGTGTGAAAAGTAAATATTTTATGTGATTGTGCACGGGAAACGCAGCTGACAAGCTGATCTAGACAAATTGCAATCACATTGTTTACGTTGGCTATCTTGAAAGCAAAATATACAACGATCGAACCATATCGATGCCTTCCTTCTCTATCTCTTGTTTCTGCTTCTTTTGCATTTATCGAAATTCGATTTTTGACATCGATAATGCAAAATGCAATGCAGCAATCGCGTACCTCTCGGTGATTCAATCGGATTACAGAGGCTTTTCGCAGAATTAGCGTATATCATGCATTAGGCCAACTCTATCCGGCAGCTGTTTTTGAATAATTATTTGATAATTATACGGTTGATGTTATAAGAAAAAAAAAACGATTTGAAGAAACAAATTGGTTTCGGAAAATTATTGGGTACGCGAAAATATTGCGACATAAACCTCGACCATTTAATGGCTTGCAATGGTGTGACAGTTCATTCATATAATGGCATTTGTTTCTATCTCTTCGGCTGATTGCCTTAACATATAATCGAAAATCGGCATTGGGCACGTAACTTCCATCTAGCAGCGTGACATGGTTTTTTTTTTCTATTCAAAACTGAATCGATAATTATAGTTGACTTATCAAATGCGATTTTTTTTCTGATTACGTTCGATTTTTCTATTACGAGACGAAAGATATTTTT